AAGCCTAAATGGCCTTTGACAAGTGGGGAGCTGGAATCTCAGCACTCCCGAAATATTGGTGAAAACTCTGGAACTCTGTTTAGGTTGAAATTATTATATGTAAATTGATTTAGAGTTATCTCATAAAGAAAAAATTCCATCCACGCATATTAAAAATAAGTCTGCCAATTTCGGCGCAAATGTTGCAGTAAAGTCGGTCGGTGGCTATTGTAACCAATGTATAGGCATTCACAGTGTTAATGCGATTCTGCGGACCTATTTTCTCGAAATTTCCTGCACAAATGAAGAAAAATACTGAAAAATTTACAGAAAATATAACTAATGTTTTAGTAATAATAATTAATAATTTTATAATCAATATTGGTATATCAATCCACTTAAGTAACTGCAGATTTTGACAGTCCATTGACTAGACAGTTTAGCTAGCACATTATTACGGCTCATGTTTTTCTTTTTTATATTGTGTATATCTGTTAATAATTAACAGAAATTTGTAATTTTCTTAGAAATATTCCTAACAATTGAAACTTTCCATGAAATACTTTCCCTTTCCTTCCAGTTAGGTTGAATTTTTTACCTTGCACCATTTTTCTTTACTATCCCTTTAATATCTATTTTCTTTTTAATATTGTTTATCCTTTTTCTTATTTCATTTTTGATACTTACCTTTCTTTTAGTTTTTTCATTGTCATTTTCTTTCCACCATTTTACTTCTTTCTTTTTTTTCTTTCCTTCCTTTTGTTATTTCTTATTTATTATTTTTCTTGTTTTTTGTTTTTTTTTCAATTTTTAAAAATCTCTTCTCTTTTTCTTTCATGTCTTCCTTCTTGCATAATAATCCATGGGGACAGTGTAGGTGTGGGTGGGTGGGGGTTTGTTAGGAAATAATTATAAAGAATAAAATATTGCACAGCGCTTATTATCTAGGGGATGCGAAAAGGATGGGGAAATATATGCTACTAAAAAAATTAATTGTGCTACCAAATTTTTTTGGGGGGTGCCAGAAAATTTTGGCAGTGTTACCAAGAAAAAAAAGTTAATTTCAAGCCCTGACATCATAAAAAAAACCCCAAAATACTCAAAACAAACGGCCCTTTTCAGGGCCACCATAATGTACACAGAGATTTGTTAGTTTCTGTCTGTTTATTATTTCAATACTACTGTATAACTAACAATAAACAAACCATATGCAAAGTATTTGCACTCAAAAGCAACGTTGATTGTATCTAAGTAATGCGCTGTTATAATCTAAAACCATGTGGTCTGAGTGAGATGAACAACTACAGTCAGTGCTCAAAATAATTTCTTTCCTACTTAGCTTTGTGTGAAAAGCTCATCTGATAGAAATTTCTACTAAGTTGGTTAGGCATAATTTTGCATACTAACGTTAATTGTTAGGCTCGCCCAGTGCAGTGCACATGGTTTTAGCTTGTTTCAGCACGGCAGCTCTGTTGTTTAGAATAGCCATGAAGGGGAATTCCAAAGTTAACCTTTGTCGTATAGGTAATCTTACAATATTTTCATGTTCTTTAGTTTAAATAAAAGATATACTTAATGATGAATAAAAACACTAAACACATGGTTTTATTCGTTGGCCTAGGCCTGTAGTTGTACATTGTAATGTAGGCCTAGGTAACATTGTTCGTTCATAATATACGCTTATTAAGTGTTATGTACATATTAGGTCAAAGATCACCACAAATTTAACCCAACCTTGATTTATGTACGCCCTCCGGTCCAGTACCGTAGGTAAAATCAAGGTTCTGCTGTATTGAAGTAATTTGCTGACTTAATTAAAAATTCCTCAATTACCAGCTGTTTAAGGCTCTAGGCAAAATATGGAAATATATAAAAAGAAAAATATATGAATATTTTGTATCAATATAATTTTAAGGTATCAGTTATTATAAGTAGCAAGAAAATGTTCAAGTTTATTTTTCAATTATCTCACTTCCACAAACAGACATTTATACTGTATTTTCATTTTTATGTAATCTAGAGCACTTTTATTTTCTTATTTTGAGCACACATTTCATGGCCTATTGGTTAGAAGTCAAACTATAGTCCTACCAAAATGAGTAAGGATTTTTAAAAAAATAAAATTTATGAGAAATATAAATTGGTAAGAAATTTGCAGTACTAAAAAAGGTGTTAACGTAGGATTTGATCTATATTTAAATAATCAATCATCCTATTATATAGTACAATCTATTTTATTATTGCGTTGGCTGTATAGTCTGCTCTGATCCACAACATACATATCGTGTACCGAGGCGTTTATTTTCACCCATGGTGTAATCCATCATTCCCTGTTCATATTCCAGTTTAGGAATTAAGCCTTTGCTTATTTTAAGTAATTGACTTTCTGATAGGATATTATAATGGATTATAGAAGAGGACTTAGTAGCTTGTGTTATTGATATAATGCTATACCAAGTGTGATTATAATTGATTGATTCAGTAGTTTGTGTTAATAACACAAACATTTCCAAATAAAAAGTACAAATTTCAGTTAACTTAAAATATAATTTACTTCATTCAGTTAATTTGATAATAAAGGTGGCCAGAATATATGCTTAAACCTTTAGTTTCTGTAGCATTGATTACTGTTATTCTTTGTTAATTAATCTATTAACTTATTTATATTATTTTGTTCTTTAAAAGAAATAGATATTTTCAGTATGAGTCTTAACTTATTTCATTTGAATATACACTTTTGTAATTTTATATACTGTATTTCATTTTTTATATTTATTTTATTTTCTAAATTTTATTTATTTTAATTTATTTTCTTAAAAAACAATGGTTGTTAGTAATGATGAGGCAGCACTAATTCTCAAGATGTAATTTATTTGGCATGAGCTTTCGCTGGCACTGAATGCCAGCTTCATCAGGTGTGTGAGGTAGAAAATGAAAATTAAGAGAGAAAATAATTTATGCATATATAATTTGGCTTACCACTGATTAATATACAAAATTAATAAATGTAAATATATGCAATAACAACTTATAAATAAATTTCTTCAATTGATTCAACTCTTGCAGATGAAAGCAGCATTGAAGGGTCACCAGTTGCAAAGTCTTCTCTGTCGTCAACTCAGAGGGTTTTATCACCGAAGCGACATCAATTTCGTCATTTGAGTACAGTGACGTCGCCAATTAAGCATCCTAGACTTGAAACTTCTAACAAAGGTTGTTAACTTTGTCGGATTATACAACAGATACTTAAGTGAATAATCGTCTCCTAGATTTGTAATATTATAATTATGTGGCTTATAGTACAATGTTTAAGAAAATGATTGTTATAATATAAAAATCTAATACATTACAGTAATTCTAGGAGATTGGTGTTCTCATCAGCTTTTTAGTGTGTTGTGAATCAGCACATTGTTTTTTTTTTTTATTGAAATAAAAAAGTATATAGTTATACGTCGAACAAATATTATTCAAAATGACAATTCATAGGGGATTTGAACACCGTGGATGCTGATCCCACTTCAATCATCATTTCCTCCGTGAATTGCAAATAATTGCTAATCATAAATCAAATGATTTAATTCACATCATGTTATTCAAATTCCAAGATAGCTGAATTACACAAGATTGAAAATGGTAAAATATGTAAAAAATAATTTATAATGGCGTCTAAAACTGCTAAGATAATTCATATTTAGCAATTGCTTTAAAAGTCTTGAATTTTAACAAATACAACATTTAGGATAAGGAGTTTGTTGAACCCCATCAGAGGCTACAAATAATATTGTTATTAGATTATCTAAAACATGAAATATAATATTGAATATTTGATTTTACCTACTTTTTAAAGCAAGATACATAATATTGATTTGTATAGAAAGTTTTTAAATTAGTGAAGAACTTCCATTTTGTTCTGTGTAATATTAAAACTGATAACTTTTTAAATTTTTATTTGAAATATGTTTAAAAATCTTGAATATTTTTGATTATTTTAGAAGGAAAATGTAATGTTATTATGGAAGCTTTGATGAGACCAGGTGAGGTAAAGTCTGGAGTGACAAGCCTACAAAACCTGGAGGAAATACAGAGAAAGAGGGCGCTCAAGAGTCTGCATATACAGGGGAGAGGTGTTATGGATGAGGCAGTTGATAGTCAATTAAAGAAAGATGGAATCGAAATGGAAGACAAAAATGGAACTCAATTGAAAACAAAACGATTAGCTAAACCTGTCTATGAAGTAAAAAATAGTGAGTAAATTTCAAGTTAAGGTGAACAGAAATGTTTTTCTAGCTATAAAAATGTATATTTTTGTTTTAAAAAAAACTAGAAACATTGCCTATTACTACATTAATATATGAGCTACAGTAAAATACAGGTACTTCCCCGAGAATTAGCTACTGTACATTATATGATACACAGCAGGATCAAATTTAGCAAATTTTAAAAGATATTCTAACGTTAATAAACTTCAGTATTTTAATGGGTTTGAGTACGTAATGTAGATGGGTTTCTTTCCGAGATGGGTTTCTTTTCGAGGTTATTTTTGTGAAGTAAAGAAGAGGCTTCTTATCAAAATGAATGCTGGAATTCTTTTGGAAATACTACAAAACAACAAATAGGGCCACTGTAACATCAATGGAATGTATATTAACCAGCATTAAATCTCCTCAACTACTGTATAAACCAAGCTTTTTTTTTATTTTATTTCTTTGAAATTCATGTAGAGTGTACGTACATGCTATCTTGAAAAGAAGCCCATAGGATTCTTTGAGATGAGCTTCTTTTCAAGGCTGCTTTTCCAAACTACAGCAGGGGGCTTCTTCTCGAGTTTAACCCCATCGGGCTTTGATTCAAGGTTTTACAGTACCATTGTTTGTCTGGGCAATAATCTTGAATATGACTTCAATGACAAGCTCAGCTAAGCTGACTTCCCTAAATAAAAAGGAGGTTCACATTGAATATTACTGTTTTGCTAACCTCTTTTTGTTTTTCTCAATAGGATTATCTGATAAGTTTAAACAGGCTGGGAGTAACAGTGAAATAATCACACAGGTAATTTGAAAAATTTATTGTTGGTGTCATTTATATCTAGTACCATATTCACAATGATAGTGTTATTGTACATGCCCATGATGATCTAAGAAAACTGACAATTTAGGGATTTGAAATGCTTATTTATACAATTTTAGAGTTTCGCATAGAAATTATTTTCTCACCAACAATTTTTTTTCTCTCTAATAGGGGCCCGATAAAGTTTTCTTGAAGTGAGATACAAGTATTACATTGTTTGTTTGAATATTATTTTGTGTGTTTTTTTTTTAGGGTGAAAGATCTCAAAGTATTAGGACGTTCAAGGAGCAGATGAAAGAGAAACAACTTAAAAAACAAGAAGAAATTGAAAAGCAATTACAAAACCAGCTAGCATTAGACTTTGTGCCAGTTCACTCATCAGTATCGAGTCCAAATTCTACCAAAAAGCTCTCAAATAAACTCACATGGAGAGAGAAGATGAAAGAAAATCAATTAAAAAAACAGGAAGAAATTCAACAGCTACTTTTACTAGAAGAGAAAAAGGAGATTGAGGTTGTAAATAAAGTTGGAAAAATTGAAGAATCCAAAGAAAAAACAAAGACTGGGGGAAAACTAAGTTGGAGAGAAGCGATGAAGCAGAAACAAATTGCCCTGCAGCAGAAGATTAAAAAAGATATTGCTGATGGTAAATCAAAGCCAGCTGATGCCCTACAAGCGTCTACCGGTATTGTTAAACGTAAGCTACCATTGTCAAATTCACAGGCTCCCAGTGTGAAGATTGCTAGGGCCAGACCAAACCCTAGACCACCTACTGTACCACGGCCAGCAGCTGATAAACTACCAGTTACTGGTAAGATTTTATCGCAGGAAAATGAAAACACTTCGCTACATTCCAAACCAAAATCATTTGTAGAGATGCGAAAGGAAAAACGATTAAAGGAATTACAACAGTTAAAAGAACAAGGATTAATTGACAATGTTGATGAGAAAATGATTACAAGACAAAAAACTGTAGTGTTTCCAAAAGAAACAGCATCAGGAATTAATGAATTCAAAGAAATAGAAATATGCAAAAGAATTGGAGTTAAACCAATAACTTCAGACAATTTTAAAATCAAATCAGATGAAATACAGATAGAAAAGAGTATTGGAAAAGAAGATAAAGGAAATGTCAATACCGAAAAAGGTGTATCAACAAGTGAAGCAAAAAATGAGAAAGAAAGCTCAAAAAAGCCAGGTAAATACTAGCCTGTATTGGATATTATAATCAATATTATGAACCACAACCAGTGTTAATATTATTTATTTTGTATGCTGTTTATTAAATAACTTATGATTGTCTTTTTCGAGAAAAGCATTTTTCTCGGCTACACATTTGATATGATATGTGGAGATTTTTCTTCTTACCAAACTTTCTATCATGTTATTTATGTTTATGCTGTAAGAAACTGTGAATTTGCTCAGATTTATACAAATGGAATTTAGACAAACCGTTATCATTGGTATTGAGAATCGCCTCCAGTTTATTTTTAAATGTAACATGAGTGATTTGTGATAGTCTGTAAAATGCTGTAAGAGAAAATTTAAAAACCCTAAATCATTTAAAGCTGAATAAGATGCAATAATATGAACATTTTTTTACAATAGTAACTATTTTGAAACATCTTTTCCACAGTTATAATTAAGCGCATAATGGGATTAGTTCCCAGAAGTACAGATGCACCAATCAATAGACTAAAATTAAAACGCAAGCCCGTACAACCACTGGATAAGTCTCCGGCTGAAAAAGAAATAAAATTAACACGACCAGACTCTACAACCCAACCTGTGAGTCAAGAAGCCGAAGAACAAAACGATCAACAAGAAAAAGAATCCCAGGCAAAATCTCCCCAAGTTAAGGTAAATATAATGAGAGTTTATTAAGAATAATGCATTAAAATAGGTTGTGTATTGATGTGTAAAACAACCTCTGAGAGTGTGAAGGAACATCCATTTATTTTTTATTATTTCAATTTGAAATGTCCCATATGGGTATTATTCACACCATAAATAAATTGTTCTTGTTAAATTAAAAACAACTATCATCACAGAAAGCCATGTAATGCTACTGTGAAGCCCTACATTTATGCCTTCTGTGAATTTTGTGCGTGACATTATTCAAAGCCACACTTTTGGCAACTAGGATTGAGTACAGGAATGCATTTCATTGAATTTTTTTCAATAAATTCCACAAAATGATTGGTTTCTGGAACAATAATTTAAATATATATATTGGAATGTATGCTATGATGATCAAGAATGTTCTTGAAATTATATTTCAATGGAAGGGATATTGTATTACTATTGTGTTCATGTATAGTAGCATCTTCAGCTATTTTACATTTAAAATTATTCAATGCTTCAATGCTTTGTCTGTGCCTCTCTGATATTGTAAAAGTTATAGAGAAATCCCCTGACATTGAAATCTTAAGCTAGTAAATATAAATATCAATATCATTTTCTTCTACTGTGAGTTTAACACAGTATCTATGTTGATTGACCAGTATTTAACCTCTTTTACAGGATCAAGCAACAAATGAGACATCAACAGCCGAGACTAACGAATTAGACAGTACTAAGCATGAGACCGAGTCAAGCTTACAGGGACAAGATGTTCCAAAGTTCAAAGAACCCACAAGCATTCAAGCTCAACCAGAGGAACCAACATCCTCGGAAGAGGCCTCGACCAACACCACAGCCTCCGATGTGGTGTGCAGCTCCACAGATGGTAGCTTGCCAGTGCAAGTTGGGATGGTTAAGCCAAATCGTAGAATAAGCACTGGTCGAAGAAACTCTAGGAGAAAATCTTCAACTGATCAATTTAGGTGCGTTTGAAATTACTCAATTAAAAATTGATGGTATATGAGAGCAGGGGGATTTGCTGTGGTACAATAACAATAACACTTTCATAACCTGTGCATCTTATGTCCAAAGCTAATATTTTCTTAAATTTATTTTTGATAAGTCTGTATCAAGTGTTTTTTATTATAATTGTGTATATATATGTACACATACACTGACAATACATGTTGACTTGATGTGCGTTTTTTCTCATTCATAGTCATTTGTCTCATAACTGTTACGTTTCATTAATATTCATTGCATTATTCAGTTTGTTTTAATAGAATGTGTAATTACTCTGACACAGTTTCTATTTTGTATTTCAGTTCGTTTGATTATGATGACGATGACTCTGAAACATCAAACGTACAATGTGACGGTGATGAGGTAACAGATGTCGGCGATGACGCTTTACTCAAAGAGATTGACGAGCTGCTTAATGATTAAATAATTAATCCGGGAAAAAAATACAATAAGAAATTAGTCATGTATTTGATAACATCAGATATATTTAATTGCATTGCACTTTGGCTGGAAATTATCATATTACCACCAGAGTTGTTCTTGAAATAATTTGTTTTTAAACTTTTGTGAACACAGAATGTGATGGTGATGTGGCGAAAGATGTCGGCCATGATAATCTACTCAAGGAGCTCGACGAGCTGCTTAATGATTAGATAATTCATTTTAAAAGAAAATTATCTATGTTTGGTAACATCAAAGTATTGTTAATTTAAATGCACTGTGGCTGGAAAGTATCATACTACAGACTTGTTCTTGAAATTATTCTTTTTAAACTGAAGTGAGTTTGGTTAGTTTCTAACTGCAAACTCTAACAGAAATTATATGTTATTGTCTAATAATTGTATGCACGTTTTCTAGTCTCAAATTGTTTTCCATTAGGACTTGCAATATGTAACATTTGCAGAGAATCTCTTGAAATATTAATACTGTACTACCTTAAATATCTATGAACCACTCCAATTTACTGAGTATACTGTGTTCTTTAACGTGCACATGGGCCATAAATGCACACGGGACCAATGGCTTAAACGCGCTATTGTAATTTGTATTTCAGCCCTCTAGCTGAAACAAAAGGAGAGGCAGCGATGAGAATTGAACCGGTGACCTAGAGATCTCCCCAGTTCAGCGCACACACAGTGGCTACCACCAGATTAGCCGACTGAGCTAAGCTGCTCTCTCTCTCTTCTGGCAGTGCTAAGTACGGTAGAGTGTCATGTATATACCACATTATGTGGGCTGAGGAAATTTTTGACCAATATAATGGCTCCTAAGTCCTCTATTTTCTATAGTGTCCATGTAACTTGATTAATTGCATATGAATCAACAATTAGGTTGCAGGAGTGCACTTCTTCACAGCCTTCATTGTGGATGACAAATAGCTAATGTCAGTAATTGGTTATATATATAAAAAAAATATTTTACCTGTAATGTAAATTCTTGCTGGAGAGGTATCAAATTGCAATCAAATTTATCCTTGATTGTAAAGACTAGTACTTATATTTTTATGTGGTTTTTGGAAGTATGAAGAGAACTGTTAACTATGACAAGATTTTGAGATACTGTATCTGAAGACAAACAGAGTAATTGATTAAAAACAAAAAATTATGTTAATATTGCTATCTCAAGGAAATAGCAGGTGTGTTAAAAATAAAAATGTTAATTCTAACATTATTAGGCCTTGTGGCCAGCCTTGACTCTATTTAATATTGAATCTACTCTACTAACGGATGTCTTATTGTGTAGCAGAAAATCGTGTTGCGTGTACCTAGTACAGCCCGATTATAGATATTGACAGGAAAGTTAACAAAAGCTGATCTAACTACAGTATGTAAAGCTCAGAATGTTTACTTTTTAATGAGAAGGGCTCGCATTAATTTATCTTATAAATACATAGAGTTTACCATTAGTTAATAAGATGTTGCATTTACTTCGGACAACTCACACATTCATTGAAATATGAAATGAAATTATAAATTTATGTTTAATTCTTAACATAAAAAATGTATTTAATTAATACAGTATTAAATATTGATAATAAATAATAAACATTTAAATTTTATTAAATAAAATAACATTAACAATATGTTAGGCTTATAAAGCAAACAAAAAAAAATGATTTGATATATCTGAAATTCAAAATGCAAAGAAACCATTAAATAACATAAAACTTCGCTAATGTATTTAAACTTTTTTTGAGCCATTACCATTAGTTCAAATTATATTGAATAGTTTGGTTATGTAATTCTGTTCTGGCCACGTAATGGTATTTTGATGGTGTTGCTTTTCAGGGACAGTTTTTCAATTCATAAGTACAAATATTGATTAATGTTATGCTTGGTCTTTTGAAACTGACGTAGTTCTAGATGAATTACTTTCCTGGTTAAAATAATACATTTATTTTATCCACATCGTTTTTAAAATGTTTTCTGACAATAATGGGTTTCTTTCTTTTTTTTTTTTTTTTTTTGCCCTTTAAAAGTGTGTCAGCCATTCAATAATCTACGTAAAAAAATTGAAGACAGGTTATTTTTAATGTGAAAGAGAGTATTATTTGTTTACCCATACTAAACTGATAAATCGATACATGGGACACAATATAATGTTTTATAAGCATTGTTTATGAAGTTTCAAACCTTAATAGCTTTGATCAAAGCATATACTCTGCCTTGGTATGAAGCAAAGTACCGCTACATTTGTTTATATTGTCACGCATATGCTAATGAATATTCATTATTTTAATTTAGATATTCATGAGTTACGAAATTATTCATCTTGATGTCTAAGTTGTAATCAGGTTTAATTGACGATGTACAGTGGAATATGACTGGCTGATATACTGTCAATATATTTCAATATTTGAATTGCTTGCTTTGTTTCTATAAAAAGTAAGTTATTTACTCCGAATTGAAAATTGCAACAATAAAAATGTTGTCCTCCAGAATTAATTAATAATAGCGTTCCTATGTATTTTGCATAGGCCCTTACTTTGCTGGTTATTCAGTTTTCGTAATAAAATGTCTGTTACTCAGCGAAAATGAATTTTGTCTGTCTTACATTTGAAGTTGATGTTGTTTTATTCTTTTCATTTTTGAAGTTTTTTTTAATTTTAAGATTTTGCCGTGGACACTATCTGTAACTATGTGAGAAATTGTCTATTTTATCAAACCAAGTAACTTGAGCTGACCTTCATTACAATTATGATTAAAGAAAAAACATAATGTAAAGGATTGAAAACTAAGTCAACGAACTAGCATTAGGAAGTTTATACAGTACGGTATTTAACAATTATGTTGCAGTGCATTGCACTTAAGACTCGTATTTAAAATCTGTTATTGGCGAGGAATTTTTAGGTGGTAAAGATGCTTCGGTAGTGGCGTAACGCCCGTGAGCTCCCTGAGGGCGCATCGCTGGGCCCCACTCAAATAGGGTACCGGAGGGCCCCTGCCAATTCTACTATTACATAACACATTATTACCGAGCCCTAACAGTAGCATAACGCCTAATAATAATTAGCATTTATAAAGCGCTTTTTATTGGCGTCTCACACAGTGCTATGGGGGGTGGGGCTAAGAAATCCGAACGGGGAGGGAGGGGGGCTAAGTATGAGTGTAACTATAGCGCGCAAGGATATCTTAGGGCCGAAAGCCCGAGCCAGGGGTAGGTATTGGAGGGGGTATCCCCTCCTCCGAAAACGAGATTAAAAAAAAAAAATAGGGACTTCAGATGTTCTGCTTGACTGATCAGACCCATACGAAGCGATTGCTGAGACAGATTTGGCTTGGCGTAGGCAGTACAGTACTGGGATTGGAAAACTAGGCCTTTTTTTTTTTGGTACGACTGCCCGACGAGCTTTGGCCGATGGGTGTGGGGGGCTTTGACCAGACCAATGGGGGGATTAAGCCCCCCTGCCTCCCCGCTGGCGCCGCCCCTGGCTATAAGACCATTCTATTGGAACGGTGAGCAATGTAAAGCAATTCAAAAGCAATGTATATAGGCACCTACTGATAATTCGGTTATTTGAATGAATACACCTACAACATCATCGATTGGACCATAAAGAATGATGTCATTTGATTCAGATTGACCTTATCATAACCCATGGCTTGGAGGAGGTATCCTGTGCTCCCTGGATCTGCCCCTGATAAAGATAGATTGAGTCATTGTTTGATATTGCTTATTTTCAAAGCTTATTGAAACCATAATACCTGTACCTCCATGCTGAAACTAGGATCAATACAGTGTCACATTGTCTAATATTAATTAAATGGTCTTTTCAGCCTCAACAATTATTTCTAGGGGGATTACCCACCCCGGTCACTTCGTAAGCGAAAACATTTTGCTGAAGGCCACCCCACCCCAACCCCACAATTGTATTGCCATAGGGCCCCAAGACTCGTCTTTACACCACTGAGCATGGAATGTGGGATGCGTCGTCACAGCGCAAGGCAACGTCGTCATCGCGAAGCTTCAACCTGCTGCGCTTCAACGTACGGGTACGCACGCAACAATGCGTCGTGCAATTCGTTTTTACGAGTAGCTGCTTAGCTACCACAAACCCATCACGCGCACACGAGGTTGGTTGTCCGGATCTCTCATCCAGAACTCAAAAAGAGGGAGACATGATGGAGCCCAGAACTTGACATGGGATGCTCAGGATCAAAATTTCTTGATCTGAGAGCCCGTCCGATCGCGAGAGACAATGATCAGTATGAAGAGGGCATGGGCATTGAACCAAACACAACCACCGTGACCCACCATGTGGAGGATGTCATTGCAACGTCCCAGCCAATTGATGCGGACGATAAACAGAGCCTGAGGTAGGTAGGCTCCGTAAATCTCTCAAGAATTGAAGCCTTATACAAGTAAAAACACAAATAGTTAAAACTATAGCTTGGTGGTTATAACGCGACACAACTAAAAAAAACAACAATACTTAATGGTAGGCCTATGTCTTACTTTAAATTACTTTAAGTATAGACTTAGATGGTTGAGTTTTAATGGAGGAAGCTCTCATCAGGTACCTCACAGATAATTAACAATTTTGCAACATACTAATAATCATAATAATAATATTAATAATAATATTATTAATAATAAAAATAATAATAATAATAATAATAATAATAATAATAATAATAATAATAATAATAATAATAATAATAATAATAATAATAGGCCTATGTGATATATGAGATGCTATGATACGATATTATGATATGATATATGATACGATGTAATAATATGACGACACGGTACTGCTCTATCACAGTAACAGAATGACGGCTAACGTACCTAGAGAATTTCAGCAAATTTACAACCAAACGACACAGCACCGTAAGGAGAAAGATGATTTTCTGCAACCTGGAAAACTTCTACCAAAGAAAGATCACAAATCAGATGACGATACAGAAGATTACAGACCAAATGGTATGGAATTAATTTGTGCCTTGTTAGAGAATTTAGGCTTAAAATGTATATCGATGTGTAGTAGCAAACTTAGGTGGCACTGAAGATATACAACTCCCAGCAAATTAAAACGGCATCATTGTTTGTGTGTGGGTGTGTGTGTGTGTGTGTTTTTCTCGGAATTCTGTTTTATCTTGTTTTGTATTGTATTGCTGTATATTGGTATGAGTTCCTAATAAAGTCAATCAATCATCCCCATTTTAAACATCCTGGATTTGTTCTGTGCAATGGCATTTATTATATGAATCGTATCGTTGCGTAATGAACGAACTATTAAGTGACAGTTTCATACTTGTTATATATAATAATGCCCGAATCTAATGTCACTGAAATTTCTTCGATCGACTCGCTAAAGGCCAACTCAGACAGCGTCGGCCGACGCAGCCCGACCCGATTTATCGTCGGGGACAGTCTTAAGCCGTCGTGAGAAATATTAAACATGTTTAATATATTAATATTTCTCACGACGGCTTAAGACTGTCCCCGACGATAAATCGGGTCGGGCTGCGTCGGCCGACGCTGTCTGAGTTGGCCTTTAAACATAGTCCTTTCCAAAGTGTCAATCAAATTTAACTTCGGACTAATCAGAACAGTTACATCAATACGCGCATGTCCAATGTGTTTTCGGTGGGACCATAGCAACAATATCCAAAGTGTGCGGGGCTTAGCGCGCGGAAAGATCCATGGTCACTTACTAGACGGGCAGGCCATTTGATGTGCGACGGTTGCAATACATCAACTATAATGCTATATAGGTATAATATCGATTGAAAAAAAAATGAGCGGAGAGTCTATAATAAACACCGTGTCTGTAGGAACAATTAATTGGAGTATCATATAATTGTGAAATGTCCCAACACTTTGAATTGACTGCTCATCGGGGAAATCATTCGGAATGCAATTAAATCCTGTCGGTATAACATGGCTCAGGTATTGGACCGTGAGTTATCGGGTTTAGTGCAGAACTGTTCGTGAACTAATCACGAACATCATATGCCTACATCGCACGTTCGTTTCCCTCCTGAACGAATCACTATTCTTCTTTCTCTACTCTATGCACCACACTGTCCCCAACTCTAACCCCATAAATTATATCTATTTCCATTTGCGAGAAAAAGCAGAATTATAAACTAACCGATAATGTGCTCGTTCTTTAAACCATTATATAGCCCCAGAGAAAGCTGAAGAAACATTACAAAGGGGAAAGACGAACACACCAAATGAACATGAGCGTGAGATGAACAAAAGAAAACATAATTCATCTGAAATCGTTGAAGATAAATCGGATTTTCCTGAGGACAACATTTGTGTACTGGAAGTCCCAGCAACAACACCGAGTGGGAACGTTGACGTGAAAGCTGGCTCAGTCGGATGTGCCGAGTGTAAGCGAACTGAAAAGAGTGCAAGTAGGCTTACTGAAGTTATAAACAAAGAGGTATGAACTTGATTAATGGATAGCTTAAGGGGATGCGAGCGTTGATGAGAAAGTGGAGGCGAATGTTGAACATACACGTGGCTGCATGGGAAAAAAATCAGGATGATGTGTAGGCACAGGGGCGGATTTGGGGGGGGGGGGGGGAAAAAAAAAAAAGAAAAGAAAACAAGAAAGAAAAGGATTAAAAA